AAGTGCTTTTCAGCTGAATGGTATTAAAGACGCAAAATAACAAAATGATCAGGAACTCTGTAAATTTCTTTAGGTGTGTAACAGACAACTACATTTCTTTGGTGCGTTAAATGCATACTGAATGCAAAGACATTTGACATGACACTTGTGCCACTAGAGGAAGTTTTATTTAAAGGAAACCTCACAATTAAGACAAAGTCCACAGCAGTATCTCACAGCAGTTTATGTGATGTTCCCCTACCCGCAGCAGAACTCAGTCTGAGCAATCTAATTACATTCAGTAATATCCAAGTGTCTTACAATATTATACGTTGGTCATTTTGGTTTTAAACTGCCTTGTTCTTTCCGGAAGCATTACACTCATACAACATTATTTTTTTTTAAGTATCAAACTACAGCTGCAGGAGTAAGCCGCTTACTCTTACTTACATACTAAATGAACAGAGGTCTAAACACTTAACAGTAGCTAACAGCTCGAGAAACTAAACTGAGAAGCACTGGAGCACCTGCCACCACAAATATAAATGGCAAGTGGGAATCGCACCCATCCACTTTCCCTGTTATCTGCCACACGTGTTATTATTAGCCTTCACGCAGATTAAGGCAAAAATAAGCTTATTGCTAAAAGCACTTGAATTTGCCCTGACAGACTTCTCTGAGTTCACTAGTACGTTGGGCAGAAATTCACCCCAAACCTGCATTTGATGCGTTATTTCAGATCCTCTCATTTTAAAACTCTTTTTTTTTTTTTCCCCCAGAGGAATCTCAAACAAACTATTTCATTGCTACCATACGACCGCAGCTTTTAATGATTGGCCCTTGTTGCTGCTGAAACAGTAACCCCCAGCACCAAAAGGAACCGTCTCCACTGGCAAGTCTTCGTATGGGCATGGTCTCTGCTCCAAGTGATTTACAATTCAGGCAAAAAAAAAACCAAACAAAACAAAACGGAAAAAAAAACTAACACAGCTTGAGTAGTTTTCCTTACTCAATTCATACAGAAAACAACAGATGTGGTAAAAAGTTACAGGAGTGGAATCCTGTGCACGAGGC